TTCGCCGTTAGCCTTGAAAAATGGAATGCTAGGAAGAACTTTGCCGAACTAAAAGACCGACTTCTTCAGGTTCTTGGAAGACCAAGCTATCTTGGAAGACAAAGCTTTGAATGCTCCAAAATGAGTCCCCAATTCGATTTTTTTTTTTTCCCGAACTAGGTTACCACAGAACCAGTCTCAAATGAGGTTACAAAGCGGGTTTAGTTATATATATATATAACTGATAAAGGTACCAATCAATAGAAGAGGCGAGCGAGGAGAAGCTCAGATGTGATGGACGACGAGCTGTTCCGCTTGTGGGCGACGGCTCGGCGAGGATGAATATGGCCGGCAAGCTCACTGCAGAGATGGAAGGCTAGTGAGATGAACACCGCCGATGAGACAGATCCACGCGCTTGGTGAGGGAACACCACCGGCGAAACAAATCCAAGAGCTTGGTGAGGACTTGCGGCCGGCGATGATGGAGGCAGCGCTGCAGATGGGTAGCTCGACTGGGATGAGCTCCGGTCTGGTCATGAGGAAGTGGCTGTGAACTTTTGACGGTGCACCGGCGGGCTTGGCCGGTAGCGACAGTCATCAACTCATCTCTACAGGTTAGACACTAATACTTTGCGATATAGAAGTTCACATGTGGTTGCATCAAACTGCACTCCGTTCAGATGTAGGCAGTTCGCGGCAGATTAGATGAGATCGACGGCGAGCACGGGCGTGATGGCGGTGCAACGACGGCGACTCGGTTGAACTCGGCCGGTAAGAAGGACGACAACGTGCAGCGGTTGTGGCTAGGCTTAATGGTAACTGGCTCAGATAGATTTTGTTTCGGTCATGAGGTCGGCGAACTTCAACTGAACTCGCGGTGGGCTTGATGTGCAGCCGGTGATGGGTGAAGATATACAACATTATACGAAAATCGATCATCAACGAAGGCATATATCGGCTTGGAGTTGAAAAATTGAGTTCGTTGCAGGTTCACAAGACGGATTGGAATTTGTTGGAGATGAAGATCAAGAATTGGTTAAAAGCTGTGAATATTACAGTGAAGATGTTGTTCAACGGAGAGAGAATTCTCTGTGATCATGTCTTTGATCGCATCGTTAGAGTCGATCAGAGAGCCCTTTCAATCTCCAATCACTAACCGCAGATCGACTCAATCTTCACATTCGAATCAACGTCCGTAGTTCGAGCACAATGTGTCATAAAATCAAAAGACACCTCGTGTATGCAAGTCAATGCAGTCTTTTTGGGGGTGCTGAACATTGCAAACCATGCTATTTAACCATGATGATACTGAAGGTTCACTCAAAATTTTGTAAAAAGTCAGATTGCAGAGTGCCGATTTGCAGGCCTTTGAAGAGTGAATTAGAGAATTTTAATTTCAGTCTAAAATTCTGTGAAGGGATGCTACGACTGGTCGGGAAGCACCCAAGGTTACTAGAACCAGTTGATTGTCCAAGTGTATAGTTATTGATGGATTATCAACGATAGCAGTCGCTTATACTGATTAATACAATTCAATGTAACATTGAATATATACTGACTTATTTCTTTTGACGGTTGTATAGGTTGGACTTGCAGTGAGTTCATTCAAACGGTGATTCATGTAAATAAAATGATGCTTATTGATTATTATTCATGAATAAAAAATAAATCAGATTTTGCAGTAGATTTCATCAGTAATTCTTTCCCAATATTTGAGGTCTTAATATAATGGTCCACCCAAAACCCTCTATTCATGTGATGTAATACTTAAATAATAATACGCCACCAGCAAAGTAAGACTAATTAATCACTTCTAGCTAGTGCTTATATAATAATTATGCATGTTGGATTTGTTGATCAAGAACATATATATATAAATATTAACACGAAATCAAGATCAGAACACTTATCTGATTAATTTATGGCTTGGCTTTTTGAGCTCAGATAGACATTTGATTACCAAGGCGAACACGAGTGATGCCTCCTGGGTTTTCCATTCATCAGTCTTGCTACGAATTATTGTCCGAAAGCCGAATATTGATGGAAAGAACCTTGTGGGAGGTTCAGATGTTGGACTTTGGTCGGCTTGCTACGTGGAGACCTTCGGCCATGAGAGTTGTTGTAGAGAACTTGGGTTCAAATCCTAGACTTGAAGATTTTAATTTCAAGTCATATTGCTGGATTTGGAGATTTTAATTTGAAGTGTTGTAACTTTGGTGGGGATATATTTCTATACGTTTCCCACAGACGGCGCCAAAGTGTAGGTGCAAAATTTCACTCAACCAATAACGATTAAGAGAAATAAAACAACTCACTCAATCAGCAATAAAAATAACCAAGAACAGTATATAGAAAAGCGTAGAATTGCCTGGACGCTTGGGAACTCTTTTATTGGAGGTTTTGGCCTATATTTATACATAAAAAAAGTAGTAGAATTATGGTAGGACTCGCATTGCTTGTCCTCCAATTCTTTCCATGTATGACTTTCTTTACAATTAGAGTTATTTCCATTATTTAATTTTCCATGCACAGAACTTGCTTTGTGTAAAACTTCCTATTGCAATGTCTTCCTTCTATGGTAAATCCTTCAACTTATAGGATTTGTCCAATCTTGAATAACTGGACTGGCTATACCTTTAACCGGCTGGGTTTGAATAACAGGCCGGATATTGATATTAGCAAATCGGGTTGATAACCTTTTGATTCGGCCTGGATAAAGGTTGGAGGGCAAATAACAGTGATCATGGGCTAAGAATACATTCAATTTGGGCTTGAGCATGACGGGCCTTTGAAAGACAGATTTGCATCCGTGATGACGTGGAGTAATCTTATTAGAAGGGATTTTTTCCCTCCACACCTGTGATACCCTCTAATTTCGGAACACGGGTTGATTAGGTCCCTGCACAAAATCAGAAAATATCAGTCAATCAATAACAAGCAAACACAAATTAAAAAGACAAATAACAATATAGTCCTGATAAGTAATTTCTGAAATCTCAATAATAATATAAAACCTTCAGAGTACAACTTAGGAATCCATACAATGTGGACCCCTAATAAAATCCCAAACTGATAGATGAAATAAATAAATGTCTAACTCAAAAGTAATAAATAATTAAGAAAAACATAGTGTAAGATCCTACGTCAATAACACCGGAAGAGTGATGAGAATGAACTGACTCTACACCTGGAACTAACGATAACCTAAAAAGATAATAACAAAGGTGGGTCAAAACTCACGAACAAGTCATTTCTACTACATCCCAAACAGAGACCCGATAAACGATACATTCTAGTTCGACTCATGCAATAACTACATAAGTAAATATACATAAGTATTATAGACTCTCATTGGACTTTGAGACAGACTCAACCGGATAGTAGGTCTCATGTTAGCGCACACAAGGTGATCATGAGTACCTCGTTTATCAGGGCGCACACTTCCTTATATCCAGCTACCCATCTTATTTGGCAATATACACCAACCCTAACCATCGATCACGAGATCTCAAGTTTATATCATGGTACACAATCAAAATATACGTATGTGAGTAACTATAGCCATATTAAGGTCATAATTATATCCTGACAACAGTATGACAAAACAAATGGGTCTAGACTTGTTAGTTCGCCAGTATAAGTATCAGCAAACTATATCCTGACAATGGCGCTGCTAAAACCATATCATGACAATGATCCTCAATATACACGTATATCAAGCATATATAAACTCGCATGCATATACAGTCACATACATGACTATTATCCTACTATCATCTACAACAGTTGATATAATAGTGCAAGCTGATACAATTATCATGTAAGTAACTTGCAACCCAAGTAAAGTCATTCCCACCATCTCATGCATGATTAATATCATTTTATACTCTGCAGTACGATATATGACTATACAAGCTAATATAATCACCGTGAGAGTAACTTACATTATAAACAAATCCATAACTATTATTTCATGCAATTAACTTACAATGCCAGTAAAGACATTTAAACCAATGCATGCATGGATAACATCATATTATAACTTACACAATATGATAACTGCAAGGCATTAAAGAGCGTCAAAAAAATAAATAGCTTGCATCTCAAATAAGGTCCATTATACTCCATGTTATTGTCGTCGTAATTTCTATAACAACAAAAATGATAATAGACAGCATTCAAGCAACTTACAGTTCAAATAAATTTTAATAATTCATCAAACCAACATATAATAATCTAATTTTCCACATTCTGGGATTTAAACAGACTACTTAGATGACCCAAACTAACCCCAGACCAGTAATTCATCTCTGGACAACTTCAAAACTCAAGAAAACCCAACCCAAGTAACTAAGAAGAAGCCGACTTCATTCACAACTGAGCTGACTCAGTTGGAACTGAGTCGGCTTAGCTGCTCCAACTAAGCCGACTCAGTCCTGGTACTTCAACTTCTTCACGTCGAGGCTCTGTAATTCCTCCTAAACTCCGTAGCGAAGGTCCCTTTATTATACACAACTGAAACGTCTTTTAGGCAACTTCTCAATTTTTTTTTCTTTTTTTCTTTTTTCCTTTCATTCAATGGCACGAAATTTATAACTCAAAAAACATATATTGTAAAAAGAAATATATAACAAGGGTTAAGAAAAGAATTGTTTCTTTTTTCCTTCTCTTATGATATGTTGTTTTCCTTTCTCTTTTCTTTCCTTCTTTTTCCTCTATAACCACACAAAGAAAAAGCTTTTACTATATTTACCATTATATCCCCATCATCTGAACTTTTTATATCCACAGCGTCTAAACTTGACCATCATGAACGAGAAAAAACAAATCATTAAAATGCCAAATTCAACCTATTTATATTTGAGTAATTCACTTATAATTCCTTAAGAAAATGCCACCAATTTCGTTATCCCATCAATATTTTTATTTTTATTTTTACATTTGTCTTCTACTATTAATACTATTTCATTCTTAATATTTTCATTATCATCATTATTTCAACTTGTGCATTATATACGCAAATGGGTTGAGCTGGAATAAACAGAAGATGACATTGCGTAGATATACCAAGTTAGGAGCCGGCCATTGTTGTGACAGTAAATTTTAACTCTATCTGTTATTCCAACACAAATGAAGATTCATTCACCTACAAGGCTACAAATTACCTTCCCAGCATCACCAATACCCCAAAAAAAAAAAAAAAAAAAAAAAAAACTACATTTTGCAATATTTATCCTGTAACTGACAAATAAAGGAACCCATAATTCAGCACCTTGACACAAAATAAAATAAAATAGAGAACTACAACAAAATGGGCAAATAAACAAAGGGGGACTTCAACTATTTCACCCAGCTAATCAACGTAATTTCTTCTATGGTCATCGTTGGCTCAGCTTACGCTTCTTTCTCAACCGCTCCTGCCTCTCTTCTTCCTCAATCTTCCGTAGTTCTTCTTCATCTTCCTTTCTAGCAATTAGTGCACTGAATCACAAGAAATCACTGGTATATGAGATACGACCACAACCAGAGGAAAACAGAATAAAAAATATTTTTAAAAAATAAAAGCCTATATGAGCATCCATCAAATAATTGCTAGCTCACAAAACTCGAACATGAGCACGCATGCCTTCATTTATATATATAAAAAATAAAATAAATAAAACAAACACACATCCGCATTTATACACAAACACATATATAACACAAGAGAAACGCACAAGACATATTTACACAACATTCCAACAAGGAAACTCTTACGAGAAATTTCTTCTAAGGAATTCCCAAAAACCATCTTAATGTTCATTTAGGCAAAAAAATTCACAAACAGATGGTTGTTTTTTCCTCCTTTGTTGAGCACTTGACCTAGAAAGAGTATTACTAAGGGGACAAATTCATCAGATTCATTTTCAAATGTTCTACACACAGAAACCCCTATATACAATAACCATGGCTCTGCATGTAAAATAATAATAATACCATCAACAGGAGCCTTCGCAACTTCTTTCAAATAGAATAAAAATCCTGTTATACCAAGCATCAAGCATTCGACGCTTTAAATTCTACAAGTCTCAAAAAAAGACATGCATACTAATATACCAGATGTTATTTGCAAGATGGCGTGTAACTCTCGCCAGAAGAGAGCAATAGAGGAGGTGGTGGGTAAATCAGGAGTAGAAATTAAAAAAATTGAAATATATATATATATATATATATATATATATATATATATATATAAGAGTAGATATAAGGTTTACAAGCATTAAAGGGAAAATATATAAACTCAAATGAGTGCATAATATTGGAGCAGGCAGACATACTGAAATGAACAAGAAAGCATTTCCAAAAACCATAAATAGACAAGGAATTCATGCTACAACCAAACCATACTAACCTCCTCTTCACCTCCTTCATAATATCGGCATAGTTGGCCTCCATGTCACTATCATCTTCATCATGACCAGCAAACTTTTTTGGATCATACCTGCAAAGTAAATCACCAATTTGCTTAACATGGAAAAGAAACATGGACCATCCAAATGGCATCATCACCCACATCAAACAGAACACACTTCATGTCAAGTATGACCAAATCAAAATTACATTCCACAACTGAAGTTTTGTTGATTCTAATAATATGTACCTTACAAGACATTCAATTACATTATTGTTTAAAAATATAAACATTTACCTTTATTAAAGAAAAAAACAAGTGCCTTCCCTTAAAGAGTTTTTTTCTTCTCTTTTTTCTATGTTCTTTCTTTCTTATATCCTCTCTTTTTTGAGGGGGGAGATTGCATCTGATCGCTTACTTATAATAAATAAAAATATGCTACAATTGTATCCAACAAATCTAAGACTATAATCAAACACCCACATATAAATTATTCAAATCAACAATCAACTCTGTTAACTTATTGAATCAACATGAAGAATAATTCAATTGCATAAAGCCAAAATCAAATAATATAAAAAGAAGGAAGGTTATTTACCCAAACATTTCTCTAATCATACTGACTGCTTCATCACCATCATCCTCATCATCAGAATACCTTCTTACAGGCTTTTTCTTTGGACGCTCCTCTTGCAAAGTGGCACGGGATGCAATTTTAGGCAGTACCTTGTTCATCTGTGTATGTGTCATCAAGGACCCAAAACATAAGAATGTATATTATGCAATCTTTCATTAGATATGCAGGAATTTTCACCAGAAAAATGGCTGGAAATATCTGCTTTTCATGCAAGGTCAAAGTATAAAACAAATAATAATAATTATAATAATGGATCTTTCACGGATTATACCCAAAAGAGAAAATCCACCAGAACAAACGTTCATGCATAAAAATACAATTACACAGGAAGTAGGATAAGACCTGAGGTTTAGAGGATGACACTGGATGTTTAGGGATCATCCTTCCCTTGCTATATTCATGAAACTTCTTTCTAGATTCTATGGACTGCTTTGGAGTAGCATGTTGCAACTTCGAAGATGGTGGCTTGTGAAAACCAGCAGTGGAACTCTTTGCACCCGGTAGAGCTCCCTTCTTCTCCATGACAGCTGCAGGTTTCTTAGTAGGCAAACCTTTTGACCCAAGAGGCCGACGAGGCTCATTTCCACTGTTGCTACCAAGCTGTTTCCTAGAGTCCACTACTGTCCTATTGGGCTTAGCTACAGAAGTCAATCTGTGGGACCCTGCCTTGGGTGGCATGTGGGTACTTTTAGACATAGGTTTGCTCTCTTCACGGCCATTAGAAATATGTGACATAGGTTTCCTCTCCTCACGACCATTAGAAACATGGGACGTAGGTTTCCTCTCCTCACGGCCATTAGACACTTGTCTTCCAGAATTGCTCAACGACTGTTTGCTCTTTGACGGCATCTGAGCTGATCGCGCCTCCTCAACAACCCCAAAAAACCTGTATAAGTTTTCACAATGAAAATAGTATGCTTTGGGGGCTAACAGATCAACAATCTCATGCATGGCAAGTAGCAACGCACCAGAATGTGAAACGGAGACATTTCGAGGTAGAGGATCCTTTCTAGGTGCTGGAAGCTCTATATCATTAAGAAAAGAGTAATCTTGTGTATCCTTGCGTCTCTGTGCTTTCACTTGTAACTACAGCATGAAAAAGAAAAAAAGATAAGAATATATGTATATATATCCCCAATAAATATCACATTTATTTCGAAGTTAAGGGAAAAATCTACATCAAATCTGCTTCTATACCTCATTTTTTACTCTAGAAAGGTGGCCATTGACTTGAGGCTGAGGTCTTGCAGTTGCTGAAGCAAGGCTCTTATTGTTCTGCAGAGGCAAGTAAGGTCATCAACTTCGTCATAAATAAGATTAAAAGATAATAATTCTTTTAGTGCATGTGTAGTCTATTTATTTCGCACCATCATAATATAAGCACGAATTTACATGTAATAGGGATGAACCAACAAAGCAATCTGAGTAACACACACCAGATTTCAACAGTTCCTTCCGCAGTTATAACAAATTTAAACAATAAGGAATCACAATAAGTACACAGATCAATCACTAAACAGAATTTCTTAATATTCTAGAATCCCCCCGATAGAACCTCAAAGGTGGTTACAAAGACTTAACTACAAACTTCCATAATAGAGAGTCACAAAAGATGAAACTGAGCAACCAGTAAACCTAATTCTTCCTGTAGAACCTCGAAGGTTACATACATAGCCACAAATGTTGATGTGGTGACCAAAAAAGATAAAGCCACCAATGTGTTGCAGTAATAGTAAAAGGAATTGTTGTTGTTGTGGGGGGTGGGTGGGGGAGGAGGGGAGAGAAGGGAACGCATTATGGTTGGAAATGAAAATAGGTTTGCCTCTAGTTGTGAATAATCAGGCACATTCATTGAACCTCACAGTTTCTGAGGCATAAATCCTAGAAATATTTTTCAACTTAACTATGACCTGAGACTCTAGTTGTGAATAATCAGGCACATTCATTGAACCTCACAGTTTCTGAGGCATAAATCCTAGAAATATTTTTCTACTTAACTATGGCCTGAGACATATTTTAAAACCAATTATTTTATTTATTTATTGATAAATAATATTCCAAATCAATTATTATGATAACCATAAATTCTTGTATTTTTCCTAGACATTTAAAATAAACCAAGAATTTATACTGTCAAAGATAACAGAATAATATCAAAAAGGAACACAATTTCTAAGGAGATAACTTCAAATGGTGGGTTACAACTGTAACCCTCCAGGTTCATCGTTCATGTAGGTAGCAGGTTGAAGACAAAATCAGTTTTGCAGTATGCAGGCATGGGCTACCCCAAAACCAAGGGAATATGGAACATACTCCATTATGTAATCTAGAAACCTTAGCTGCCAAATGCTGGTTCTCCAATAGTGACATGCTTTCTTGAATTACTCTTTGAGCAATAACCGTCTCTGAAGGTCCAAAAAAGGATCCATAACTGCAAGATATCAAAAAAGTATGTGAAGAATGAATTGTATAGGACTAAAATGCAGAATTAGATTTTAAAATTTTCACTAGGATGCATCATGCATGTGGTTTGACTGACGCTATGGCCTTAGATAGAGCGGAACAGAAACATATGGATTATTAATTAACTATCAATTACATGATTACTATAGCTCAATTTTTGAAAAAGGCAAAATATATATATATATAAGAGTTAATAGTTTAGACACGTGGAAGACACTTCAATCTGATGTTAAAGTACCTAAAAATGAATCAAACCATATTCCTTCTGCCTCACAAATGCACTGGGCAAAAAACTACCAAAGATGCACCTTTTTTATCTTTCCATTTTTTTTTTTTTTTTTGGCTGTCATAAAATCTTCATAAATTAACCTATGTCTGCAGTCTATAAGGCATATAAATTGTGCATTTTCAGTTGTGAAACACCGGCATGACATTTTTAACAATCACCTCACAAGGAAAACATCAAATAAGATGCGCTAACCCACCACTTTCCTTCAACCCCCCAAAAGAAAGGGGCAATGTGAATTTGAATTTCTTCTTTTTCCCTTTTTTGAAGTGCACCAATTATATATTGCATATTGATATCATGGAAGAAGAGGGTGGGGGGAGGGGGAAGGTGACATGAAACAAACGGGAAAGGATAAGTGGAAGCAATAACTGGTTTACACTTTCATCTCACTTAAGTCGCCGACCTATCAGAATCCATATAAAGCAATTTACAAAAAGCACGTGCCGACAATGCAGTTACCCAACCTCAACGTGTTAAAAATGTGATAAGTGATAAACATAAAATTTAAAATTGATTCCAACACAATAAATGTTCAAATAAACAAAAGTAAACAGATGACCAGTCCCCTGTGTCAATGATAATAAGGATTCTAACACGAATGAAATACATCATTGCAAGTTCCATTGGAACATATAAAGTGAAACTCAGTCTTGTCACTATAACATGCAGAACTTGTTATGCCCAACAAAGGTCTTGTCTAGCAAGCTTGCCACAATTGGTAAAATACTCACTTGTCAGAGGGTAGTTTCTTCTTATTTTATCGGGAATTGGCAGACCCAGATTCCTTCTTCATCCGCTTTCTGAAAGCTTCTGTCATTCGTTGCCTCAGTTCAAGAAACAATTTCTCCTTTGTGGGCTGGGGAGTCTCCTCCTCTTCACCACCTCCTCCTCCTCCTTGCTCTTCATCCTCCTCTTCATATGCATCCAAATCTTCATACTCCTATATAATTACGACATGTTATACATCAATGCAAAAATGTTCGTGTTTTTGTGTATATGGGAGGAGATGCAGTAATTCCACACACACACTTACATCTCTGTCATATCCCCTCATAGCCATTTCAACTCTCCAAGAGTATTTGGACAACTACTACTACAAAAACTCAAATCCTGCAAAGCCCAATAATAAAAAAGGAATTTTAACCATGTTTTTTAAAAACCAACAGTAAACAAAAATTAGTTATATTATTTAGTACCAGAGAAGAGACATAGTAATATAATATATATATGTGTGTGTGTGTGTGTGTGTGTGTGTGTGTGTGTAAACAGCTAAAAATTAATTTGATATTTTTTAATAGGAATGTGTGGCTTTTGCAAACAAAAATTCATCCATCAAGTACGTAAAAAAACTACAAAAGTTGCTAGAACAAAATCATCAAAGCAAAACGCAAATCAGAGCATTGGATTACGGTTACCGAAAAAAAAATAAAACTTACTTCTTCTTTTTTTAATAATAAGTGGCCTAGGGTTTCAGATTCCTTGAATGTAGAGACAGAATGAGGATCAAAAGCGAACAGCGGTGACTCGGGTTTTGCCGGATTTCTCTCTCTCTCTTTCTAATTGTATTTCTGTTTGAGATATAATGAAAATTATAATGATCATAAATCAGAAACCCTAATCAAATCTTCTTATAAATCAGAGATTCAGACCCTTTATCAACACGGATCAAAAAAATAATAATAATAAATAATAAAAAGTTGTTGCCTTTATCGAACACCCTAATTATCTCAATACAGGCTGTCTCAAAGCCAATTCATATATATATATATATATCAATGAATCAATGTTTTGAATTCAATACAATTTGCTACTGAATTAAAAAAATTATAAATAAATAAAGCACAAAAACAGAACATTTAAAGCCAATACGTAAAAATCACCTGTTTTGTTTAGAAAATCGAAGAAATCAGATCGAAAATCAGCAACTAAAATATACTAATAAAAAAATCACATTGTAGCAAAAATACTTTTTTTTGACATAAATTAATATTATAATACTTATTTTATCCTTTTACTGTTTCAAAAATGCCAGTGAGATACATATGCTGTTAATCTCTTAATATATGGGTACTATGTGCACAATATATATATATATATATATATATATATATATATATATATTGAAAACTATTTTCTTTATATATATCTATAAACATTTTTAAAATAAAAAATAAGGATTTCAAATTTTTGAGATTTTAGTTTAATTTTTTCTACTAAATTTTTTTTTTCTTTATTTTATTTTTTTTTTTGTGCCAACAATGTTAAACAAAAAAAAAATCTCAATACCAGTGTGCACTAGTTTTTGAAGTTTGGAAAAATTTTGTTTTCTTTACTTTGCACTTTTTTTTTTTTTTTTTCTATTTTTATCTTTACTTTACTTTTATACTTTTATTTTATATTTTTATCTTTACTTGTCCATTGCCCCTCCAATAATGTCATTTTTTGTCATTTCATAAAATTATTTATTTATACATATTTTATATTATGGTTCAGTAATAGTAATTTAGTCAATTTAGAGTTTAAATTTGTCAGAGGAACCTATTTTTACTAGACTGAAACTTTATGGATGTTTTTTGCACGAGAGTGACATCTTCCAATAGTATCTTTTTCGATTATTTTATAAAATTATTTATTTTTATATATTTTATAAAAAGGTTCAGTAAGGGTAATTTAGTCAACGTAGAGTTTAAATTTGTCAAAGGGGCCTATTTGCACAAAATTAAAACTTTAAGGATATTTTTTGCACGTAAGGGGTGTGATATGCAATGTTATCATACTTTAAGGGTGTTTTCTGCACTTGACCATAAAGAAGATTAAGGAAAGTAAGAGATGACGGAGGCGCACTTCTTCGTGTCATGCTATTTAGCCCGACAAATAGAAGTTTGTAGAAAGATTAGACGGATTTGTTAGACATAATCTACATGGTAAAAAAAGATAAATTAATATGACAATCAAATGGTCTCACTAGCATGTCCATTAAAACAACATGAATTTTCAAAGACAAAATTACCCTTATATTGCCTTCTTGTATTCATCCTCCCTATCACTCAATTTCAAAAAACAACTGTAATTAAAAATCTTTTAAATTCGTTTTATAAATTTTGTCA